ATAGATAGATAGATAGATAGATAGATAGACAGACAGACAGACAGACAGACAGACAGACAGACAGACAGACAGACAGACAGACAGACAGACAGACAGACAGACAGACAGACAGACAGACAGACAGACAGACAGACAGACAGACAGACAGACAGACAGACAGACAGACAGACAGACAGACAGACAGACAGACCTCCTCTTTCTTCTGTTCATCCGTTTTTTCCTCCAGATAGACGGAGGAGGGCAGGTACTTCCTAACAGGAGCCTCTTTTGGTGCTTCACTCACTGAAAGAAAACAGATCATAAGGAAGGGTGCTGTAACACTACATGCATAGAGCAGATTTTTGGACAGGTATTCTTTGAGTTGTGTTTGGGGATGCTGAGCTGTACAGGGCGTCATGTCTTTGGGCCGCATGCTGATTTTGCGGTGCTGTCCGTTGGATCCAGAGAGCCAGGCAGCAGCGGTCAGAGCTGCTTCCCACCACACTGCAGTCTCCGGGAAAACATCATCCTGGAAAAACTCTTTCTGTGGAGCGAAGACAGATTCAAATGTTTACATTTGTTCATTCAGCATGAGAAAGAAACACTGTAATATAAAGCTGAAAAAGTACTCAAAAATGATCAAGCTAAAGGTATCCAGAAATATAGACACAATGTAATTTAAAAATATAATAAAATGTATAATAATAATTAGTTTTCAGATTCTGGTATGAGGGTCACTCTTACTTTGACACGAGGCACTCTGAAGGCCACGGGTTCAATGGTGGTCTTGCCAAGTCGGATGGCTCGAGCCACTTCCACATCACGCACATCACATTCAGCCTTCGGCAGGAAACACAACCCCTGTGATGACATGGTAAAACATTAGTAAAACAGTCTGCTTTCTGTATCATCAACAACATCACAACAGCACCAACAATAATACCTTGTGTGGTTCAGAGGAATGAAAACTACTACATTCCATGAAGTACGGCGCTTCAGGAACGATCTCGTATATATAAACACGTGTGTCACCCTGAAAGACCAAAGGACAAATAAACACACTGTTGGATGAATCTGTTTGTTACTATATACAAATGGCCAATTTTAATGTTCAGCAAAGGCACACACTCACACACCTTCCCAGTGAGGATGAGGACGCTGGTGTCGGGATCATAGAATGGGATTAGGGTCGAGGGAGACACATCAGCAGGCGCTGAAGCCACAGACCCGGATGCCAAGGACTCAGCGGAGAACAGGTACAGCTGCCTTTCACTGCGGCTGTAAAGAAAATAAGCCATTAAAACTCTTTTAGTGCCAGAGAGGCACTGCTAGTAACAATACTATGATCATTTTGGCTAAATTTGTGGTATATTGTACCTGTCGAATCCTGAAACCAGCAGGTACTTGCCGTCACAGACCCACACTACACGGGCCCCTCTCTGGCCCTCAGGTCCTGGGCCCTCCTGCATAGAAAAAGATGGTAAAACTTTGTCAAAAAGATACGATTTATTTTGCTTTCGAAGTTTAATAATATGAATCTGATGCTGAACTAACCTGGACGGGCAAGGTGGACTTGCGTGGGTCGTACAGTCGCACTTTTCCGTCCTTACACACAGTGGCCAGCAGTTTCCCGTCTGGACTCCAAGCCATGCCAAATATCTGAGAGAGAACATAGTAAGCTGCCTTGATGTCTACAAAATTGACGAGACAAGACAGACAGACGATAGATAGATAGACAGATAGATAGATAGATAGACAGACAGACAGACAGACAGACAGACAGATGATAGATAGATAGATAGATAGATAGACAGACAGACAGACAGACAAACCTGGTCCTGATGTCCGCTGAGTCGTTTGACTTCCTCTCCTGTCTCCAGGTTCCACAGTCTCACTGTGAGATCGTAGGAGGAGGACGCCAGCAGGCCGGACGCGTGGGGGTGGAACTTGATGGAGTAAATCTTCTCCGTGTGTCCTGTCATTGGTCAAGGTGTGTGTCAATCAAACACTACAGAATTACTACTTCTACAGTTCAGAGTTCACATGTGCCAGTTTCTTACCACGCAGAACACGCTCCGGCTCAGTCAGGGTTTCGGTCAGGCCTCCTTTGGGTATCTGCCACACGCGGATCTTGGCATCATCACCGGCTTTGAAACAGACACATCAGAGAGCAGCACATGACATTCAGACAGCATGTAATTCGGTTTGTTTTCAAGAAACACCTGAAGATACAACTGTTCTTCAAACACTTCATTTGTTACAAACTACTATACATTTTCTTTTGATTTTGAGGAGAACTATGACTTGGATGTGTTCCTGAGATTTAAACTCATGGATCCCCAGTTGAAAATCATGGAGGTACATGTAGATGAATAGCCAGAGCTGGGTAGATTACAAGCAAATTGTATTCCGTTACTGATTCCAAATTACATGATAAAAATTGTAGGCAGTAACGTAATCCATTACATTGCTCATTTTAGGTAATACAATCAGACTACTTTTAGATTACTTTTGACTTTACACATTTATCACATTGATTAAACAGGATAATCTTGTACCATATTGATATAAAAATACAAAGAGAAAGAAAATATATTCCCTTCGTTATTATTAACAAAATGAAGTGCATTAAACATTATATTACATTATGGTTTCCCAAACTGGGGTTTGTGAAAGAACTCCAGTGGTTTTTTGAGTTTAATAAAAAAAAAGAAGAATTAGGGAGAATTAATAAATTATGAATAATTTATTGCTATTGTGTGAATAATATCGAATCATGTAATCAATAAAAAAGTAACTGTAGTCTGTAGAGTAGAGTATTTTAAAATGTAATATAATCTAATTACAAGTATTGCATTTTTGGAATCTGATTATGTAATCCAGATTACATGTAACCAGACACTGTGAATAGCGGTTACTATATAGCATTGCAGCTGTAACTCTGTATTGACCAATCAGAATCCAGAATCAGAGCAATCACTTTTATATGGTCATTTTGAAATGGCCAATGAAAACTCACCCACAACCAGCTTGTGTGTGTCAAAGGGGTCCCAGCAGAAGTCGGCCACATTGACGGAGTTCTGGATGGTGGGCAGGGCGGTGTCCGGCAGTTTTCCAGGCTGGGACAGCTGTAGAAGCAGACAGACAGAGCAGTTAGATACTGTAAATAAATCAAAGATTCAGAAGAAAAGAGAAGTGAATGCAGTACCGCACCTCAAACACAGCGATCTGCCCTCCAGCGATGGCGAGAGGCACTGCCACACGCTGGCCGTTGGCACAGAATCCGTCACATTCTCCTGGTGTGGTCAGATGAAGCCCGCGCAGGTTGGTGATGTGAGTGTCCCGGTGCAAAACGGCCCCCTGGATGTGACGAAACTTGGAGCTTGGGCCTGAGAATCACAGAAAGCCATTCATTACAAGAGCTGGGCGATTTACACAGCCAAAAACATTCTCTCTTGATATGGTTCAGCTTTTTGATGATATTTGGCATCAGTTTGGGGGCAGTATGATTTTGTTTTTTGAAAGAAATTAATACTTGTATATTTAGCAAGGATGCATTAAATTGATCAAAATTAACAGAAATTGCTGTTTTTTTTTTTACTTTGTGTTCATCAGATGAATCATGAACAAAAACTTATCACAGAAATATGAAGCAGCTTAACTTTCTTCAATATTGATAATAACCAGAGATGTTTCTTGAGCAGCAAATCAGCATATTAGAATGATTTCTGAAGGATCGTGTTACAGAAACATTAAATAAATCTTACCCCCCAACTAGTAGTGTATATAAATAGTTATGTATTTGCTCTGAAATGTATTTTTCAGTTCAAGGAACCATAACTATAATGTAGACGGTCATTGCTGACCATATTAAAAATGTTTAAAACAAGTAAAATAAAAATCTAGTATTAAGTGATGAAGAATACAGTTTTTTAAATTAAATTGTGTTCATTAAATAAACACAAAGGAAAATAAATCATGTTTAATACTTTTAATAATATAAGAATACATCATAATAGTGTGTCTGTGTGTGTATGTGTATATATATATATATATATATATATATATATACACACACACATAAACAAGTATTTCTATATTCATATTTAGTAATAATCATATTTAATAATTGAATAATTTTAATAATATAAAAATACACAATAAGAGTATATTTATATAGAGAGAGCGATTATACAAATCAATCATTATTGAACCTATTGACTGAAATGGACAGCGCGAAAGAAATGACTCACAGATATGACTCAAAAATATTATTACTATCAATTATCATTATTATAGTTTCATCTTATTCACTGCTGAAATTCTAAAAATTAAACAAATGAATAAAGTAATATATTACTAGTGTGATAATAATATTGTATAGTAGAACATTCTCACCTCTACTGGCAATTTTTGCAATTAAGGTTTACATTCTAATAACTTTTATTCTATTATTTAAAGACACACTATCAAAATATTTTTCATTTTAATAAATAAATATATATATATATATATAACTGAATTAAATGCAAATGCATATAAAGTGAATGTGAGTGACCGAGCATGCTGTGGATGGCGCGGGAGCTCTGGCTGGGGCTCGGCAGGAAGCCGGACGACAGGCCGCTGGTGGAGGACGGGGAGCGGGACGGGGCGGCACTGCTGCTGGGGGTGCTGAGGGGACTGCTGGAGGTCGAGGCCTCCTGAGAAAAACACAGAAAGACACTGTAAGACCATCATTTCTGTAAAATAAACATTTCTCCACGTGTTTCTCCCACAGACCTCTTTGCTCTTGCCACGGGGAAGATGATCCTTTGGTTTTGTCTCCTGAGCTGATGGAGCGGCCGGTTTTGGCCTCTTGTTTGGGTGAAGACTGATTCGCTCCACCTGTAAAAGTTCAAGTGTTACGGAGTTAAATATATCTTAAAACGTTAATATAGCTTGACTATACTTCCCCTTTTTTCCTCATACTTTAATTTTCAGTAAGAAATCCTTTGCTATCCATTGAATTGCCCATGACTAAACCAGAAGAGGTCAGTACCTGTTTGTTCTCTCCTTTCCACCAGTCCTCTGCCGTCATGGCCGGAGTGTGACCCACAGTGTCCGGATACAGGTCCGCATGGAAGTCCTGTCCTGCCTGATACACACAAAACACACAACAGCTAAAACATCCAACATGCTCGGACTGGCGGATTTTGGACAAAAAAAAGAAGGAAAAACAATTTTTCCTACTCATTCAATTATATATATATATATACAGTATATATATTATATATAATATGTTATTATAGTTATAATACATTATATATAAGTAATATATATAATATAATATATATAAAGTATATAAAAAGTATATTCAGTATGACTATATTCATTCAGTATGACTATAATAATAATATTATTTTTTGTAATTGTAAATAATTATAAATAATTTTGAAAAATAATTGAACAAAATAAAAAACAAGTATTTAATAATAATAATAATATCATTATTAGTTTTGTGTTATTAGTATTTAAATCATTAAATTAAACAGTTCAACAAGGATATACATATATATTACTACTGCAATAATACTATTGTAGTCAAAATAAAAAGTATAATAATAATACTTCAAATTATAATTTATAATTAATTTCATTAATTATAAATGAATTAAGAAATATATTACTATTGCAAAATACTACTGTAATGTGAAATAAAAATGTTAAAATAATATTTTTTTCATAAAACAATAGGAAAATTAAAATATTACTTTTTATAGTTATATCAACTTCTTGTATTAATAATAATAATAATAATAATTTATTCTATTATTATTAATAATAATAATAGTAAATGTTTTTGTTTTATTTTATTACTATTTAAATGATAAGAATTAAGCAAATTAATAAAGAAATATATTTATATTGCATTAATGCCACTGTACTACAAATAAAAAAAACAAGTATTGAATAATAATAACAATAATTTTATTTTACAGAACAGTAAAATTTAAATAGCAATTTTTATACTTGATCCAATTTGCTTTCAAACATTAAACCATAAAAAGCAGAAAACCACTAGGAGACTTTAAAGATTCTGTTTTGTTGATATTTGTATAAATGATTCTCATCACAAATTTGGAATTACGCAATTTACGGTCGTCATACAGGTCGTAAAATAAGGAAATCACATCCCTGTTACATGTTATCAGCTTATCAATCATAACTAGTGAAAGATAATTCATGTGCATTCTGAGCTTTTATACTGTGAGTTTAGCAGACCTGGATGTGTTTATTCAGTGTCGGTGGTGTGTTCATTCCTTCATACCTTGCGAGGCACCTGGTAGCTGATGGGCACTATGAAGTTATCAGTGAGCTGCATCAGACGCAAAACCTCACAGCAGCCGACGTCCAGAGCGAGCTTCGGCACCAGAGCCACGCCACGAGTCGACACGTCCGTCAAACAGTGACTCACTGACAACGACAGAGACAGATCAGCTTCATGAAACATGAAAAAAGAGCCCGAGAAACAGCGTCTGTGTTACCTTGAGACAGGAAGGGCTCACTGCTGTTCACCTCGAAACAGTCGATCACACTCTCACCCTGAGAAAATATGATTAATCATAGTATTCATATTGAAGATAAAGAATGTCAAAGTATCTTAAAATATGTTAATAAATGGTCACATACATTCCCAGACACAATAAGTAGTCCAGAGTCTGGATCAAACAGAGGCATCAGAGTCCTGCGGATAAAAACAGACAGAGAAGCGCAAATAATGATTCGGCTACTGATGCTGTAGGACACATATTTCTCACAGAGCAAACATTTTGTTGAACTTTTCTTATACACTCCCGTTTTTAAAAAAAAAGAAATTAATACTTTTATTCAGCAAGGACGCATTGAATTGATTAAAAAAAACATTTAAAATGTAAAAAAAAATTCTGCTGTATTTTTTTTTTAAACTTTCTATTCCTAAAAGATCAATAGAGAGTGGGGGGAAAAACATGTTTCCACAAAAGTGTATGCAGCACAACTGTTTTCAGCTTTGATAATAATAATAAATGTTTCTTGAGCATCAAATCAGCATATTAGAATGATTTCTGAAGGATCATGTGACACTGAAGACTGGAGTAATGATGCTGAAAATTCAGCTTTGCTATTACCGTATAATAAAAATGACATTTGAAAATATATTCACAAAGAAAATAGATATATTAAATTATAATAATATTTCACAATATTACTGTTTGTTTGTTTTTTTGCTGTATTTTTTCAATCAAATAAATGCAGCCTTGGTGAGCATAAAAGCCTTTAACATTTAAAAAATCTTACAGACCCAAAACATTTTAACAATAATGTCATTATAGGAACATTCAACCTGGAGACATATTAGTTGCCCATAAATATTATTTTTTAAAGTGAAGTGTCTTGCCGTTTCAAACACTCAACATGGCAGCCACCATAAGGGGGCGACACACTCCATAATATAACCGCTTTTTTTCTAGACCGCTGATTTGAATTTTCATCCCGTGTTATCATTTTAAACGTTTACTATTTCTTTAGATGTTAAAAAAGAGACAACGTTAAAAAAAATACATTTCTACTCTAAAGAAAATGTGATATATGTGATGGCAGTTTTCTGAGGGGAAAAAAACTGTAATAATTCATGTCTGCAGCATAAACGGTTACGCACCAAATTTAATACGCTATACACTAACAACCACAGTTTGTTTCGTCCAAATCAAGCAGATTCAAGAAGACACTGAAGTCAAAGTGAGGAAAAAGTAAGTAGATCCAACAGGTCTGTAGTTATCAGTGTTGGGGAAAGTTACTTTTAAAAGTAATGCATTACAATGTTGCGGTACTCCATAAAAAAGTAACTAATTACATTACTTAGCTACTTTTTATGGAAAGTAATGCGTTACGTTACTTTTGCGTTACTTTTTAAATCTGGACAGGGCTTGCTTGTTTGTTTCTAAAATAAAAAAGTTATATTTTTGGCAAATATAAAAGCCTTTTCACACCAAAAGTGAAATGAATAAGCCTCAGGTTGAAGGGAAAGTAAATTTACGTCCGTACAGTAGAATGCAGAAGAAGAAATTTCAACACACTTCAGCAATAAACAAAGATGTTTGTCTAGAGTAATTTTTGCTTATTAGTACGGTTGAACTGGATCATCGAAGGTCAGAAGCAAAGACATTGGTTAATAGAATACATAAAGGATATTTATGTTGTTTAACATTTAATTATTGCAAGTTGCATTTTTTTAATTCATTTTGAGGAATACTGAATCTATGTTTTTTTTTTGTGAGTGAGATGAATTAATGCATATTCATATTTATTTTAGAACTACAATAACATCTTCTGATTTCTCTCAACATGGGGACAGGAGAGCTGTCAGTCAATAAATTGAAAAAAAAAAGTAACTTGCGTTACTTATTTGAAAAAGTAACTCAGATATTCTCTTGTAAACTAAAAAGTAATGCGTTACTTTACTAGTTACTTGAAAAAAGTAATCTGATTACGTAACTCGCATTACCAACACTGGTAGTTATAAGTGTGTATGTACTGAATGTTTGCAGTGGGGAGGGGAAAACAGCTGCGTGTTTTCTCCACTAGGTGACAGAATAAGCAGCGAAATGAGCTCACTTCAACACAGAAACCCACATCAGCTCTTCAACAAAATATTGCATTGATCAGACACAAAACATTTGAAAACTTCACATCGGGGTCATTTAAATCTGTCTGTTTGAGCCCGGACTGGAATCTGGCCCTCTTTCACACACACACAGCCACATTCATCCATCCGCTGCCTGACGCCCGAGGCACGTGCGGGGGTCACCGATGGGCACCGGCGGGCCCGGGGTCACGGCACGAACACGAGTGTCTATTTCAAGTCACATGCTGCTGGGAGCGGGGCGTGTTTCCGCTTCACTCGAAGAAACCAGATCAAACCTTTCACCCACATCAATCAGCTCAGAGCGTGGGACATAACTGATCACAAACCACAGAATACTACAGAAGAGCAGGAGCTGCCCAATCCAGCCCTCCAGCTCTTTAACGAGTCTTTAGCCAAAATTCTCTTATGCAACTTTTAATGTTTTATTCTGTCATCACTTAGGCTACACTCATGTTGCATGGTTATTATTCAGATTTCTGAAAGAATTTCCAAGCTGTTCATTTCCATATATAGATACAGAAGAACCAAAATAGTTCATGTGACTCAACATGTCATATTGGATATTTGACTGAGATTTGAGAGCTTGTGAAGTTTAAATACCATTTAATCTACATTACTGAAAATTATAAAAAAAAAATAAATAAAATAAAAAAAAAATTATATATATATACAGTATATATATATATATAATTCTACACAAGTATAAATATATATCAATCTTTCTGAATAAAACTTTCACCTCTAACAGAAAAAACCCCTGAATTTGTCCTGAAGGACTGATAAGCCAATGAAAAACAAATGAAAACCTGACATTTATGCAATAATGCCTGACATTTTGGTCTGTTCCTCACACAAAGCTATGGCTTAAGACTTGATATACCTCACAAATCATACAGACAACTTTTATGATGCTTTTGTGTCTATATTTTCGCAGGTCGGCAGCCATAGCGCCCTGTATGAAAGCACTCATTAATCTTTATAAGCCAAGTGGCAGACTTTTAATTTTGGACTGACCTTTTCCTAAGAAGGTCACTAAATACTACACAAACTTTACAAGCCAACACGACTGTGACCTTCAGCGCAATCCAGGGAGACTAAACCTTCAGTAAACACGCAGGATAACAAAACACCTACAGGACTTCAAGAAGAGCATTATTCCTCGTGTTTATTCACTAATGAGCTGCTAATTACTCATCTCCCTCACAGAGTGTCAGGCAGAAGTGAGCTAGCGGTGAAGACCTGGACATGTCGGGCCACGCTCATCTCTATCAGCTGAATGGTATGCTTGCAGTGGATCGGCAGGCTTTGCCTCCTGCGCTTCTCCTGGGACGGCATTTGACGGTTGACTTCTCCCCTCCCCCGTCTTCGCCCCGGGCCTCTGAAGTCAGTAAAGGGTTGCTACGCTTTGTTAGCACAACTTTGCATTCCCATGTCGAAGTTTCTCTGCAGGAAATACACAAACACCTCCTGCGTTCCCACACTGTTCCCTCTCACAATGCACCACCACACATCAGCACACTTCAACAATGCTCATACTACGCATCTGCAGACTTCTGATAAACACAAATATATCTCAATGGCTTCTCATTACCTGCAACAAGGGGAGCAAATGGAACCTTCTCAGGTTTCGCTCGAAAAAGATCTCAAAACAACTGTCTTAACAACTGAGATCTCAATATGCACTCAAACATTTCTCATCAAATTCTTTATATTCTCCTAAACAGCAATGAGATTGAATGGAGGGCAAATGAAGAACTCAAGCTCCTCATCAAATGAATTATATTTCTGTTGTTTCATTAAGATTAAACTGAGAGCAAATGGAGAACTTTAACTCAGATGTTTCTCCTGCAAATAAAACTCCAGCAGAGTTTCAGAAAAGATCTCAAACTGATTTGTCAAGACAAAAGTCAGAGATTTACATACGCTTTATTTTCATTACATTTAAAGTTGCAAATACTTCTATTAAATTAAATAACTGGTTGAAATTGTGTTGTTAAAGCAAATTTTGAACACAGAAAAAGTTACATAGTGCTGCTTTAAAACGAGACAAGAGCTCCCCAACATCTCAAACCGTGCTCCTATTTGCCAAAATAGCAGTTTTCAATCAAAAGTCTCATCAAATTATCCCAAGACCAAAGAATCTGAGATGCTTCAGTTTATAATTGCATTATTTATTAAATAATCATCATACACTATTAATATTTTACAGGTCTATACTCGTACTATTCTCTAATTCATGTCTATTTTTCCAGAAGACTTTTAGGTGAGACGTCAGACACAAATTGATATCTAAATGAAGCACACGTGAGAGTTATTATGAAGCCTAAGCAATGAAAGAGGAGCCTCTGAGCAACTGGACTGTCCTGTGGGAGGAATAACTGCACACATAAAGGCAGATACGCCTCACTTCACTGCTTTACTCAAGAAAAGATTTTCCCACACCACCCAACCCCTGCGGACGCCGTGTGTGTGTGTGTGTGTTTGGAGCTCCAGACAGTAGTCTGGTCATGAATGAACGCTAAAACACTCCGGGACATCATTCTTGAGTGGCTAAAGCTGTAAGCACTCACACACAACGACACACACGTGTGCTGCTGCACTGAGGGCCGGAGGGACGTCACGCATGACAAAGCCTCTAATCCAGATGTAAGCCGTCTTTGGACACAGAAAACAACAGAGAGAGAGCAAAAGAGAGAGAGAGAGAGAGAGAGAGAGAGTACACATTTCAATTAGCACAGGCTTTTGGCTTTGTTTAAAACGGAAAACTAAACTAGGGTTCTGCTTACTGCATATCAGATCACAGACTGGATGCTGATTGGTCAATATTTCTATGCGCACAGCAGGAATGTCTGTAAACCCTTAATATTATGTTTTACTTCATTCTATAGTCATATTCAATCCCTTATATTCAGTTGTGATTATATTTACAGTAGATCACAGCCTCTTGTAGTAAGTATATATACTGTATACTGTGTGCTTTCCAAAAATTTCATTGAAAAATGTGCAATTATAAAAACACATCAAATCGTGTTAAATACATTGTCACATTACCTTACTACACG